TCTTTAGTGCAAATATTGGTTACTCAAAATTTATGAGAAGCAATTTGCATATAAGATAAGATAAGATAATTCTTTATTACAACCTTATAGAATGAAGTACATATCTATTTTGGTTCATATACATGTACCAGGGGTTTTTCTAGAAAAAAACTGCAAGAGGGAGCACTGCAAATCAGTGGCATCAACAAGTGGGCGAGATAGGGTTCTCCTTACCAGGGTGTGGAGTTTTTGATAATTCTACGTTAAAATGAAGCATTCTATGGCTTCCTTGGGGCCAAAATTACTATCAGACCAGTCACAGTTGAAGACAGTGGCCACATGTGATCCCTGGTCAATCAGAATTTTATGGTTGCCAAAGGATATGCTCCTCAGGATAAGGGGGCGCATGGCCATGACATGAGTGCGCTGCACCCCTGTTCTCTTGTTTAAAAAAATCCCTGTGTATAATGTATGTATAAATTTAGGTATGTATGAAATGAAGTCAGACAGAGGTAAATCTACAAATCTCTGTTTACTTCATCTGAACAGAGACAAACAAAGAGAAAATATATTTAATGATAAGTAACACAACCTACCTACAGTACATAATTCAGGTACTACACCATTATCAGGACAGATATAACCAGCTGGACAAACTGTACAGTCTGCATCACTAGTGGCACCAGTTTTATCAATGACAAGTCCATCATTACACTGAGACGTATTAAGGGCTCCTATAAACACAAAATGTCTATTAATAAGAACAAATCCAGCATGGTACAAAAATAAATTTGTCTTATGAAAGTTTATGTGTTTTAATTTTATGCTTCAATATTCCATCTCCATGGGTATTGGCTACAATGGTACTAACAAAAAAAAATAACAAGAAAAAAATAAATTCAATATCGTCCCATTTAAATCAGAAATGACAAAATAAATCCTTGACTGAAAAAGTTAAATTTATTTAAGACAATTTATCGATGAGGCAGCATATCAAACCAATGTAAAGGAAAGTAAAATAAGTAAATAACTTTATTGATTTTGTATCCTTATTGGGATCTTTAAAATAATACAATAAAGAATGTTGTTTAAATAAACAACAACTAGCTAAAAAAAATTAACAAACTAAAATAAACAATTAGAAAATTAGATCAATAAGTAAAACAGAACAAAAATAAAAATTCAAGAAATTTAAAATTGAGTGATTATTTTGGGGCAGCTGATGGTTTTTTTAGTGCAATATCTCTGCGGTTAAAGCAGTTAAGAATGAATTTTGCATAGTCAGTGATTTCTTTGTACATGTATGTATACGTGATAATTTATTTATTGTTTGTTTGTGTGTATTGTTATTCTTATTTTGTTCTTGCTATGTTTTAATGACCTTACTACTGATCTCTAAGAAGATGGTACAAAAATGTATTGTATTTACCTTCTAGACAATAATAGCCAAATGGACATGGTTCTCCTTTATGTGGTTCAGATCCATCAGGTATTGGTGTCCCACTACCACTATAACATAAATACCCGGCAGCACATGGTCCTGTATTCTGACCACCAACACAGAATCGACCTAGAACAAGACAGAGTAAAGTCTATTTATAGACACATTAAGAAGTGCTATAGCTAAACTTCCAAGTAAAGCAACAGCACAAATACCTTGTTTTTTTCTGATATTCTTGCTGTCTACATAGAAGTTATAAAGAACTGTAGTGTTGACCACCCTAATGATCAGGAAAATAAGCGACCTAACAGTCAAAAAAGCTCCGCTGTTCTACAAGGAAGTTGTTGATGCCAAGTCGATAACAAATTGTTAAAAAAAAAATAATGTACACCTCAAATATCAAAGCAATCAGGTTGGTAGTGATCAAGAAGAAGTTGAAAATCGCATTTCTTTTAATACCAAAAATGACAAAAATATTTGGCAAAAATAGAAGAATTGAAAAAAATCTGACAGAGGCCCCCCAAGGTACCTACATACCAAGTATCAAAGCAATGAATTGAGCTAGTAGTTTTCAATAAGAAGTCCAAAATGTAATTCTTGATGAATGAACAATGACAGACACTCATATATATATATAAACAGCACCACTCTGTTATTATGTTTTTTGCTAGGTGCTATCTGATAGCAGTGAATCTCAGACAATATATTAGCCTTCCCACTGAGTCTATGGCACACTTGCCTATAGTATTTTTTTAACTAAATCGGGAGGGTCATCACCTGCGCACATGTGGGAATTGAGTCCTAAGCAATGATAACAACACACGCTAAAAACGCAAAGGCTCATGGATAGGCGCTTGTTAGTAAACAATGACACGCTATGGCCATCTGACGCATGCGCAGGTGACGACTCTAGGACTCCATACATTACATGTAATTTTTTTTTTTATATACATAATAATTAACGTTATTCATACATTTTCATTCATTAACTAAATCCTTTCCTGGCTCAAAAAATCATATTCATCTTCATAAACAGAAAAACACATCGCTTTGTTGATATCTTAAAGTCACATGATCATTTTGAAAAAAAATGGCTTTATTTTCGTAATTTTCAAGATGGGGACGTTGTTGTTAACTGATGTTGCAAAAATCATGAGAAATGGTTGAAAAAATAAACTACAACGAAAAAATAACGAACCCAGATTTCTGTCAAGGGAACATTAGGATTTAGTTTACCCTTGGAGGTATTTTACTTGAAAAAAATTTTCATATTTTTGTTGTTTTCTGACCAGTTATATAGGTCAATATAATATAATATTTATTCAACACTAAAACGAAATACAGTGAGTTGTATAAAAATAGAAATAAAATAAACTACACTAAGATACAGTAAAGTCAACTACACAGAATGCTAAATAATATTACAAACACATAAAAAAATCACAATAAACTTGTACGGTACAATACACTAGCTACTATTGCTAAGAAGTCAAAAATCACATTAAAATCAAATTAGAGTGATAACTATGGTGAAAAGAATATTTTTAATTTTGGTGGAGCTGCTCACATCTCATTCGCATACATTTTTGTATGTATTGTGCAGTTCTTATTCCTGTACAATATTTCATAATTACTTTGAATTTTTCTAGTTCGATAGCGCCATTTTCCATTTTTACCATTTTGCTTCACAGTTGGACCTGCGGCGTTA